CAAATCTAGCCTGCTGTGTCTAACAATATCTCTAGATCGATACCCAGGAAGCATACCATAAAGCGCATATTCAATGGATTGTCCCAGCTTCAGAGTTGACATATAATTTGATAGCCACTATAATCCAACGTGCCGCGCCACCAACTCAACCACCCGAGACTCCCTCTGGCCTCAATTTACAGTGTGTTCAAGCAGCCCGTAAAGCTCTACAGATACACCAGCAGATATTTGTTTCTCTTGAAAAAGCCGATTCGTTCTTTTTCAGCGGATATATTACCTGGTAATGTTCATCGAGTGAATCAACCAAGCGAATCTCTTGTGGCTAACTCGAACCAAATAGGGTCCTCTTGCAATGTCCTTTTGCTCCGTTTATGGTAACCTTCTGCCATACAATCGCAGCCTCTGACCACGACGACCTCAAGCTACTTGGTGAAGTTGCAACATCCCTTCGAGTAGCAGCTGATGTCTCAGAAGCAGCGGACCGACTGTACCGGCTATGTCTGGTATTTTATCAAGTCGCAAAGTTATATGTGGATGTTCAACCAAAGGAGCCACACGACTATCCTGTGATACCGAAACCAGGGGAAGCCTTCGACGAATACCTCACATCTCTTGGGTTTGGGCCTAATACCCTGACAGCCGAGACGACCGAGAACAGCAACAACATCAATTTCAGCGACCCGAGTGAGCCTTCTATATCAGCATTCCAAATGCCACCCGAGATGATGGAGACAGATCTGTCACATACCCTTGGAGACTGGTTCCTTGACAACCAGTACATGATGGGTTTGTTAGATTCCGATTTATAATGATCTACATTCCTGTCTAAGCGCTATTTTACATGTCATACCTGTGACTAAATGACGACCACCCGGTATAAGAGGCGGGACTGCTTCTCTGGGTGTACCTGTATAATAATCCCTCCTACTCAATTCTTAACTTGACTCCCTACTTACTACATACCGCATTCTATGATAGGCTAATTGTTTTCCATAGAAACGAAACACGCTGGAATTGTTTAATCTATTCGCATTGTATATAATATCTCTTTATGACTTGAGCTTGACAGAACCTTAAGATGTCTATCTACAAAGCAGTCCTGATAGCACATTTGAACTGTTGGACTTATATTAGCATATAATTTGAGTGATTATCATGTCTAGAGAAAGGTGATCTTACCGGAATGATTTTCATCTGAGAGGCCAGATAACTATCAGTCAGTAAACATAGTCGCAAGCAAGTTGTGGTCGGAAGGGCCTTACGTTGTCGACATCCCACACGCCAGAAGTAGCGTAGATGTCCTTGGACAGGATTTCGCGGATCTCCTCAACGGACTCAGCAGCGACGACGAGGGCGCTTCCGTTCATGGGTGGAGGATTCTCGCCCTCAGCCGGGTGTTGGTCAAGAGTCGAGCCTGCAGCAAGGAAAATTAGGGCCCGGCCAGACAAATAACTAAGAAACAGCAATGGATGATGATGCAGGTATAATATTACCTCCCATCTTAAGGAACCCGGACTCCAATATGGGGCCGAGGTTCTGGAGGTGAGTGCTACACATCAAGCGGTTAGCCGGTTACTGTTCTCGTCTGTCCAATTGCTGTAACTTGTCAGAAGGTCAGCGGCTTACTTGCGGACTTCCACTCGCTTCTCCAGCATGCCCGGCTTATCAGGCATCATGACGATCCATTCTTTCTTTGACGGCGCCGAGGTGGCCATGTTGCGGGCGAGGATAGGAACCTGGGGCCGAAAACCGAACTGAGGAGGCAGAGAGCTGGCGGTGCGGATGCGAGGAGCAAAGGACGAGATGCGCAAGAGAGACAGCGGAGAAGAGGAAGAAGCGCGCAGGGAGACCGCGGGGTGCATGTTTGCAGCGAGTTTATTATTTATGTATGTATCGAGAGAGCGCGCAAGCAAACAGCCGGTCGGTTAAATCGTTATTAGTTATCAGCGAGCAAGGGGGGAGATGGGGAAGGCCGCGGTAATAACACCTAGTTTGATGGTTATAAATAGTACGCCTTTTCGCCGGGATTCTGGGTTCCTTGGACCAAGTCAACTACGGCCATCAGAGAGTACGAGGACTTGGTATCGCCAACCGATCCATGGCTGTTATCTTACAAGGTACAGTAGCTAACTAGCTAGTTAATCTAACTAGCTGTGCATACAGGAAATGTTACCCCAGGCCTGTGCCTATGCATCTAAACCGTATCAGCTCTGCTGTCACTGTCTAGGCACCTTCGGGGCGAAGCGTACAAAACCCCCGTTTAGATACCATTTACAGTGCATGTGTGAGTCTGTGGGATACCCTGTTACAAACGGGTTATGTGACCGTGAGAAAGGAGGACAGAAGCCCCTCCTGGAGGTGGATGACCCAGCGGAAAGGGGACACTCAAGTGTCTAACCTCTCCATCATTTTGGTCTTTGGGAAGAGGAGGATTTCTCTGCCCACCGTGTCTGAGCTTCAAAGTCCTTCCTTTCTTTTCCCACCAGGGTTTTCAATATGTTCTCCCTGAGTTCTGAAAAGAGAGCCATGGCATCATCATACTGTTCGTGGGAAGTCCAGCCATCACGGGTGACGATGCCCTCCATAGCCTTCCAAAAGTCCTGAGCTTCGTTCCATCCGTCTCCATCCCTTGCGTGCTGCTGAAGCTCGTCCTCAGTAAAATGGATGGGGCAAGGGAAATCGAAGCCTAGTTCATGCCAATATCTACAAGAAGGGTTAGATATATGTCCCCGTATATTATCGAATGCTTTTTCTTCAACAAGATAATCCAACTTACCTTTCTACATTTATTAGTGATTCCCTTAATGGTAAGATATCGTCGTCCCAAGCATCACTGACAAAGCTTATAGGCTCACATCTCACCCGACCAAGCTTTAAGCGAAATACTCCGTCCAGGCCAGGGTTGACTTTCGCCGTTTTTTGCTCATAAAGATAAAGAATAATAGAACTGGCAATCTGTTTTCTCAAACGAGCCTTCTCATTCGGTTCAAGGTCCTTAAAATTTGCTGGGGGTTTCAAAATGATATCACCATGGTAGTCGACTAGACGTGGATGGCGGCCCTGGAGAACTAGAGGTCCAGCCCAGGCTCCCTGCCAGTCAATGACACCAGTGATGCGGCCCTTATCCACAAAGAGATTACCGGCATGAAGGTCGGTATGCCAAATAGTGGGTGCAATGATATCTGAGTCTGCGGGCAAAAGGTAAGGGGCCACTTGCAGATACCTTTGGAGGAGCAAAAGATGCGCATCTGGAGAATTTTGCGCAGCAGACGTTACAAGCGGGTCATCCGCATATCTAGGAACCGCATATCGCTGGATCCATTCCTGCTCACGGCGTGCCAAAGCTACTGCATATTCTTGTGGATGTTTCCCTTGAAGAAGAATTAGTCCTGCATCCAACTCAACAAATGTAAGCATGAGAAAGGTTGAGCACACGTACACGGACCGCGATCAATATTCATTATTGAACGTTCTTTGCTCCAAAAGTCTCGTTCAACAACAGGCCCGAGGGAAAACCGTTTCTTTACTTCACTCTTGATTTCCGGGGAGACGTCATTCATGACTTCCGCAGCAACAGCGCCCGAAACGGCCTCATCAGAGTAATACAGATTCCCATAGCTAGAGCTTGAGTCAGATCTTGAATTGGTTCCAGTCGATATAACTAACTGATGGGAGCACAAACCTGCCGAAAGATATCGAAAGGAGTTTTTTCTCAATGAAAACCAGGTCTTTCATGATAGAGACTTTATCCTCCAACGGAAGCTCATCCCACACATCTTCCAGATTTGTCCCTGCAGCTTCTTCCATGATGATATATTCTGCACCCACGGGATCATCGGCATGTGCATTCCAGGCATGGACTCGCGGAGTAGGTATTTGTAGTACTGTACGGGCCTAAGTAGCCAGTATTAGACGCCGTGACTCCAACATACGGTTGAGAGTAAGAGACTTGCAAAATCCATCGTCGCAACTTCTGATGCAGTAGTGTAATACTTAGGTCCGGCAATAGGATGGGGTATTCTTGCAATGACAGCAGACCCGTTATCCATAACAAGCCGGAAGGTCTTGTTGAAAGAGCCTTCTGCCAGCTTCATCATGGCAACACAGTGGTTTGAACCGATGCTTCTGGCAGCAATACGCTGGAGTTCCAACACATTGAAAGGCGTGAATCGGTCTAGAAGCTGCTGCTGCTCATCCCAAAGCCAGCGTCCGCTTGTGTACCGGAAGAAATCCTCTTGTTCATGGACATTGAAGCTCGAAAAGCAGGAGCGAGACAAGAAATGGGACGAACGAATATTCCTATAAAGCCCTGGTAAACCTGGTCGCGCTGCTGAAAAGCGCTGGAGTATCATCATGTTGTCTGCTTGGTCGGAGTTCAATGATGGTGGCTGATGGAAGTTGTATAGTTAACAGGTATACATAGTTACCATGTCTATGTCAAACGACGAAGAAATATTCTTCATATTTGTTTGTCGCTCGAAGCCCTCTGAAGCTTTATCCCGAGTTTTCGTTGCCATGTTTGCAACGTCAGAAAAGGTGCCAAGCGCTGATTGACCAAGGGCTTTTAGAATGGGAGGCCTAGGACGGTTTATATTAACGGAGATGTCATTGAATATCATACAATCAATATATTGATAAAGTTTTGGGGTTTCTGGTGGAACCCAGATTATATACAGGTGCCTGGCTGACGGTTACTCTATCCAAAAACATAGCCAAGAGGGACGTGTCCAAAACATGACTGTAGGCAGCAAAATGCTATAGCATTACAGCTTTGAGGATGGAGCATCCTTCTTGAGCATCGCTTCTGCGACTTTTCGGCGCTGGATCTTGCCTGTACGAAGACGGGGGTTGGTTAGTTAATCCGCAGTCACAGGTCACAAGAGAAGATACACATACCGGTCGCAGTCTTTGGGATCTCGTGGAGAATCCAGATCTATGCGGTAGAGAAAGACAGTTAGTCAAAGTAATCGGCCAGAGGCAATCAAGGTATTTTGCGGTTTTAGGTGCACTCACTCTTTGAGGGATTTTGAACTTGGCGACCTTCGGCGCTATCTCTGACTTCAGCTGGTCCTCTGATATGCTCCCCCTTTTCTTGAGGACGACGGCCACACCGATGTTTTCACCATACATGTCATCTGGGATGGCGAACGAGACAGCTTCGGCAACGTGCGGGTTCTGGGCAATGACATTGTCTAGCTCAATGGGGCTAATCTTCTCTCCACCCTTGTTGATCAACTCCTTGATTCTACCGGTGATAATGACATAACCGTCTGGGTCCTTCTTTCCCTGGTCGCCGGTACGGAAGAAGCCGTCCTTGGTGAAGGACGATTTGTTGGCAGCAGGGTTGTTGAGGTAGCCCTTGGTGACGTTTTCCCCTCGCACGCAGATCTCTCCCTCAGAGCCCTGGGGAACTTCCTTGCCATTATCGTCCAGGATACGGACCTCCACACCTTGGCCAATACCAACACTTCCAGGCATCCTCTTTCCTGGTGGCAGTGGGTTACTGGTCATTTGATGCGAGGCTTCGGTCATAGCATACGCTTCCAGAACAGGAGCCTTGAACGCACGCTCTATTTCATGGAACGTCTTGGGAGATAGCGGCGACGAGCAAGAGCGAACGAATCGGATTTTTGGCATGGGTGACGGGAATGGATGTTTAAGGAGGATCTGGTGTATGGTAGGTACTGCTGTGTACCAATTGGCTTTGTAGGTGATGAAATCCGACCAGAACTCGGAAGCGGAGAATTTGGACGGTACAATGACGGAACCTCCGGACTGCAATGGGGCAAGGAAGGCAGCAAGTAGTCCGTGAACGTGGAAGAGAGGCATTACAAGATACGTTCGATCATCACCCGTAAGGGAGTAGGTAGCTTGGATGTTTCCTGTAACGACTCGGTTTAGTTTATGGTATCGGGAAATGACTGACTAGCGATAATATCACTTACTCATCGTTCTGGTGAGGTTCCGGTGCGTCAGCGGCACAGCCTTTGGTCTGCCAGTTGTGCCGCTGGTATGCAAGACAAGAGCGGTATCATCTGGTTGAGCAGTCTGGACCGGTAGGCCTCCCTTTCCAGCCAACTTCCCGTGCTCTTTAACGTCCAACACCACCTTGCCGCTGTCAAAGTAGCACTCTGCAATGGCAGCATTGTACTTCTTTGCCGCTCTCACTGCAGGACTGTTCTGCGCATATGCACCTCGTGGGACAAGGGCCAGGGAGGAGCTCAGGTCGTCGATGTAGAACTCGAATTCCTCCTGCTTGTATGCTGGGTTGAGCGGTGCGGCGATAGCCCGCTGCCAGGAAGTAGCAAGGAATGAAACGATGAACTCATATGAATTCGTCAAGGCAATGGACACAGCAGCGCCGTGAGCTATGCCTAGCTTCGCCAGTTGCTCTTGAAAGGCCGCAATGTCGGCGTTGAGTGTCCCATAGCTAGCGATAAAGGGCGATGGCTTTCCGGGTACGATCACAGCCGGCTGATCTCCGGAGCGTGCAAAGGCAGTCGAAAGGGTCGACATTCTATACGTATCCTGCGTATATAAATATATATAAATATCAAAGGGTGCAAAGCAGTCGTAGCTCTGGCTGTCAGCTCAGGATTTATATGCAGGAAAAAGAGCAGAAGACACAAAACATCCAGGGGGGCTTTTGTTCCATGTATAAATAAATAAACCTGATCTTCGGCTGAAGTTCGACCTCAAGTTCGTCGTTTCGGCTGCGACTTTCGGCCCGTGGATGACATAATCTTGGAGACGGTTTCGGGTCTTTCTCCGCACGAGCAAACAGCTCCAACTTCTGCTTTTTCGTCTTTCTCTTTTGCTTCTTCTTGCAGCTTCTTCTGGTTAGAACTGCAGTACTCCCTTGCTACTTGCATGCATCAAATATGACGCTGAGCGGCTTTTCTACGCTCAATGCTGTGTTCATCGTTCTTCAACCGACTAAAATACGTCTTGGGGAGGCGTGCGGAGACGAGGAGAAGTGTGAGGGGAGACGAACAAAACACTAGCTCAGCTCGAGGATGAAGGATGAAGGATGCAGCAGGCAGATCGCTAAGGGTATAATAAGATAACGGTGTCTTTCCTCTCTAGTTAGATGTGCATGTCTTTCACCTCCCCAATAAAGACGAAAATATTTCGGGATCGACTGCTAGTACAAGATAGCCCTCGACTCGTAATGGCTTCCAGGGATACATTCTACTCGTCCTATAACAAATTTGCAAGAAGATAACAGCGTGACAGGGTAGATATCTATAGACCAGTCAACTGTTTCTTCTATCTACGCTTCCTTCCTCAAAGAATATACCAGCAGCTTATCCATTATTAAACTTTACAAGCTCCGAGGCCGGAGCCAATGTTATATTACGCAGTCTGTATTCTGATGAACCAATAAGAAGGAACATATTGAAGATTATGCACAATTTTGGAGATATCGCCAGCTCGTGTCAAAAGCGAGGAGAGCGGCTAATATGTTTAATGGAACTATTGCGAGCTTCTACATCGTTCACAGGAGTGAAACTTCCATCCAAGTTGTGCTTCGCGTGCAGGAAGGAACTGACGCAGCCATAGCTACGATTACGATGACCTTTTAAGCTTAACTTAAAACAAGATCATTGGCTAAGAAAATAACGAGTTTAGCTAAAATGGTTTCCGGCCCGGCACGAAAGCTTAATAAAGGAGAAATCAACCTCAGAGAGCAGCTTCATCTAACACCGGTTGCTCCAGAAAGAGCCAAGGCTCAATTTTTAATACTCACAAAACTTGTCTTTGTACAGGCTAGAGTGGCATAAAATATATGACATGGTGGTATGGATAGCCCCTAATACGGTGTCGGTGCCTTCATATTTAGCCACGAGGGGCATATTCAACCTGACCATCAAATTTTATACTGCTATGTCTTTCCCAATTTCTATGCATCCTTTTAGAGGTCTCTGCTGCTACCGACAAGATTCCCAAATTAAAAAAAGTTGTGTCTACGGAGTACATCAATCCTATTTAGAGCCGAGGCCCGGGCGACTTACGTCATAACTTATTTAATCACGTGATAACGTTAACCCGGTTTAAACTCTCAATCTTCTTGCATCAAAATGCGCATACATCACATGAACGATGGTGTGCCTGCATATATATACTTACAGAAATCGAACGATACAACTGTCATTTTACCTGGATTTCTCAGGTGATTACTACTCCATAACAAATAACCACTTAGGTAGCCAAGTATGTTGCGTATTCTGACTAAGACATCAATATAGCCACCAAACTTACAGAGGTATGCGCCTATTTTCACGTGACACGGATATAATGGATAGGCCAGAGCGAACGTCAGAACTTTGGCCTTGCAGCTGGCCGGCCCATGTCAGCTCTAAAGAAGAAAAGAGGACGATCTTGATATCAAGGGTTCAAGAGCAGAGCTTTCCCTTTCCCCTCTTTATACACGGAACACACCAGGGAGGCCTAAAAAAAATGTCCTCCCAGAAGGCGACTGCGCCCAAGCCGGGCATGTCGCTCTATGCGAACTTACTGGACACTCCTGAGAGCGCTTCCATTTCGCGCGCGCCAGTAGTCTTTACGCAAGCTACAGACGCCTCCCAAGATGACCCTGCCATGAAAAAGCAGCAGATAAGTGCCGGTAGAGCATATACCCTCCCTCTTCAAACAGTCTGTACCGACATGATTGGCTCACTTGTATCTCGAAAACCCTCTTTTGGTTTTTTCCTTTTTCTATGAACTGCAGCTTCTCTACGGTTTCAGCCCACAAAAAGACCACAACTGCCCTCCCAGAGGTTAAAGGCGAAATCTGGCATCTCGAAGCCGCCTGTTATCACAGGATCGGCAAGCCCTGCTGCCCCAGATGAGGGTACTGCGAGCTCTGCTGTAACCACGGGTCGTGCGACCGGGAAGTCAACGCTTGCGGATTGGACGGCCACAGCGGACGATGACGATGTCAACGGATACTATGGAGGAGAGAAGAGGCAGCGTGGTGGTAGGAAGAAACGGAAGAAAAACTACGAGGCCGAGGTGGTTTTACAGAACTGGGATGATATCTACGACCCGACGCGCCCCAACAGCTATGAGGCATACAGGCATAGCGAAGAGAAGATACGAGAGGTCAAAGAATGGAAGGACCGACTGTATGCCCATCGTTTGGCGCAGCAGTACAATAGCGACATGGACAGTGATGAGGAGCAGTCGCGGCCGCAAATGAACAGTGTGTTATCATTTTCGTACTTTTTGCCCCCTTTTGAAGACGATGCTAACCATGAAATTTCTCTTGCAGGAAAATTTGCTCCTCCTCCATCTTTTGCGCCACCACCAGACCTGAATGCACCCCCAGCGGAGTCCCCAGAGCCAGAACGTACCTTCTCAGAAGCCATCCCACAGCCCGCCGTAGAAATCCCTGATGATTCAACCGGTGAAGAGGCGTATGCGCGACGGTTACGGTTGAGTGCGAACATCAACCAGCCCGAACCAACCCCACAACCCTCGCTGCCATCACAGCTACCACCTACCCAAGAAGCTCCCACGTCGGCGGCTCCACCCAGCCAGACATACAGCGCAGCCACCATATCTCGTCCGCCGGTTCGATACGCATTACCTGCGGCACCGAGAGATCTTCCTGCCACGGAAGCTGAGCTTGAAGCAACATTGGCTAATGAACAAGAAGATTCAAACAAGGAAGGAGATGAAGATACTCCTCGCTCCCTCAGACCAGGCCAGAAGGGCTTCGCAGAGCGACTGCTAACTAAATATGGCTGGACAAAGGGTTCTGGCCTTGGAGCAAACGAGTCCGGTATCGTCAACCCGCTCCAGGTCAAAGTACAAAAACAAAAGAAGAAACCAGACTCTGAAGGAGGCGGGGCTGCTACACCCGGCGGTCCAAGGGGTAAAATCATTGGTGGTGCCAGGAAACAGGAAGAGCACGGGAAGTTTGGCCCCATGTCTGACGTTATTATTTTGCATGGAATGGTAGATGGGCTGGACTTAGATGCAGAGCTGGAATCTGGTGATCTAATGCAGGAAATTGGAGACGAATGCGGCGAGAAGGTATGATATTTCTATATCATCTTTGAAGCGTTGGCAAGGTTAGAGAGACTAACAGATTCGCAGTATGGTCGTGTCGAGCGAGTTTACATTGACCGAAACAGCAAAGACAGGATCCCCGTTTTCATAAAATTCACAAATCAACTATCTGCTCTGCGGGTGCGTTAAGGGAGCCCTTCACTAATTGTGGATCTTGCTGACTGTTAGATGCAGGCCGTTAATGCGCTCGAGGGCCGAATATTCAATGGTAATACAATAACAGCCCGCTTCTTTGAGAGCGAGAAATTCGAAGACGGGGGTTATTTTTAGGGCAATGCCTACATTTCAAGTACTCTGACCATGTCTATGTGGAATTGCATTACTTCCTAATGGCAGCAGCTATATCAATCAATCAAGTGTATCCATCAACGCATTTATATTTATAGAAATGGAGAGAGTTTTGATATACACGTGACCTCCCCACTTAAAACGTCAAGCTTGGCCTTTTTTCTTTTTCACTTTATCGCACCTGAAGCCAAAGCAAGAAGAAGCACAAGAAGAAGAAGAAGAGGGTCAATAAGTGTTAGAAGAAGGAAAGAAAAGTGACTTCTTAGCCGCGTGTCGTTTGTGTTATTGTATAAAAAGGGAGCTTCTTTCTTGACATATTCTGCTTTTTCTTCTCTTTTTACAACCTCTCGCCACTGTCAGGCCAGATACCAGTTGCCCAGCAAGCAAGTTTGACCCCTTCAGAGCAGCGAAAATGTCTCTTTGCATAAATCGACTCACTGAAGAACGGTAAGCCCCCTCAGGTGCATATAAGCAAGCTCTAAGCTGGAGGCTGACTGTTGATTTTGTCTCGCGGCGCAGGAAACAATGGAGAAGAGACCATCCATTCGGGTTCTTCGCTAAGCCATACCGAACACCCCAGGGCGCGCTCGATCTGAAACGGTGGGAATGCGGAGTGCCAGGGAAATCAAAGACTCTCTGGGACGGAGGCCTGTTCAAGCTTGATCTCATCTTTCCTGACGGTGAGTTTGTGGGTTCTGATTCGGTTCTGATTCCTGTGGTTGTCAGGTCAAGCTAACGAGTGCCTTTCTTCGACCCGGCGCAGAATATCCAACGAAGCCTCCAAAATGTATGTTCAAGAGACGGTAGCTGATATATGCGTGTTTGTGTGTCTGACCATGAATGCAGGCAAATTTGTCCCTCCGCTCTTCCATCCGAACGTCTACCCTTCCGGAACAGTATGCTTGTCCATCCTAGCAGAGGACGATGGCTGGAAACCAGCGATTACAATCAAACAGATCCTGCTAGGTATACAAGATCTCCTAGACGACCCGAACCCTGAGTCCCCTGCGCAGGCCGAGGCATACAACCTGTTCAAAAAGGATCGTCCTGCCTACGAGAAGAAAGTTCGCCAGGTAGTCAAGGAACATCCAGCAGTCTAGAGACACAACATCTTACAGACTGACTCGGCATCTCCTTTGGTCTCACGCTTCTTTTCTATTATTTTTCATGTCCCACTGTCCCACGTTAGCATGGCGTTCATCCCCGTCCAGATCTACTTTCTTTTCCCTTTCTCTTGTCTACATGGTCTATGCCACCGGGGGATCCATCTATGTACGAGACTTCCAAGTCTAGTTTACGAGTTATGACAACGGCCTGATTAGATTACCTCTCTCTCTTTTTCCCCTTGCACTCCTCGGCGTCACTGTAGAAATGGCTTCAGCGCTAACTAGCGCCCTTGCGACACCATCCTGGCTCTTCCTCTCCTCCCCCTGCCCGCACGCGACAAGGGGCGGAAAGCAAATTACCGCCTGGTCGACAGCCGATTGGCGCGGCAAAAGTGTCAAGCGACCAGCTCCGTCATCGGAGGACAGGGAGGACAAGGAAGCTGGCGGGCGGAGGTGCAGGAGGGCTGGACTATCGAGCATCTATCTATCTCAGTAGCTACTTAAATACCTGACTGACTGACCGACAGACCGACAAGACACTGAACTGACCAACCGGCAACTAGTCTGAGTGTTTCGGCTCTTTTCGTTATCTTTTCCTCCCTTTTTTTTTCTGAGCTACTCCGGGTGAGTCAAAAACTTTGATTCCCACCCTATAAAATAATTTATTGCCCCTCGGCAGCAGAAGCACAAGTCAAGGAGAACAAAAGGCGAAAGAGACAGGCAAAGGAAGACGAGTCGAGAGAAAGAAGAAGAGCAAGAGTCTTCAAGCATTCAAGTCAACTGGGCTCGCGATTTCTTTTTGGATTTGCAATAGTTGGTTCTACTGTGTTATCTACCTCCGCCGTAAAGATGTGTGGCATATTTGCTTGCCATTGGTATGACTCCCGCTCCTGTCGCCTTCACCAGCACCTTCTTCTCTTCCCTCCTGGCATATGACGGGACAATTGAAGCCTATGCGATGTATTCGAACGCTATGCTAACTTATGCTTGCTTACAGTCACCCCGATGTGAAGCAGTTCAAGCCGACTGCGCTGCGCATGGCGAAAGCGTGAGTCATTACCCCGGCCTTTCTGCGCATTTCAAGAGAGAGCCCATTTTCCTTCTAAAGGTTGAGGCGAAGGTGACGGTAAAGGGCATATCTCGCTAAGACAAGCCTTAATTGAATAGTTTGCGCCATCGAGGACCTGACTGGAGTGGAAACTTCGTTGCCAACAACACAAGTGAGTGCTGGTAAAAGATAGACAAGGGGGGAAAAAGAGACATACTGACGGTCATTAGTCCTTGCACACGAGCGATTGAGTATTGTCGGAGTCGGTATGTCGAAGTTCTCGTGCGCTTTGTGAGCAGAACGGAGCTGGTTGCTAATGCTTATGGTGGTAGATTCCGGAGCTCAGCCCCTCGTCAACGATGATGAGACATTGGCGCTGGCAGTCAATGGCGAGATATACAACCATCGAATCATCAGAAAGAACCTGAAGGTGCCCTACAACTTCAAGACACACTCGGACTGCGAAGTTGTTATCCCATTAGTACGTTCCTCTTTAGTACAAGATACAAATAAGGATTGGATGCTTACTACTCTGACAGTATATGGAACATGGCGTTGATGCACCCAAGTACCTCGACGGCATGTTCTCCTGGGTTCTCTTCGACAAGAAGGAGGACCGCGTGGTAGCTGCCAGAGACCCCATCGGTATCACAAGCTTCTACCAGGGCTGGTCCTCCAAGACCCCAGGAGCAGTCTACTTTGCATCTGAGCTCAAGTCTCTTCACCCCGTCTGTGACAAGATCATCTCCTTCCCTCCAGGCCATGTCTATGACTCGAAGACGGATACCATGACCAGATACTTCCAGCCCAAATGGTGGGACCCAGCCAACGTTCCCTCAGCCCCTGTGGACTACAAACTTATCCGCGAGGGTCTTGAGAAGGCTGTGAGGAAGCGGCTGATGGCAGAAGTCCCCTATGGAGTGCTACTCTCTGGTGGTCTTGACTCCAGCTTGGTCGCTTCAATCGCTCAGCGTGAGACGCTCAGGATGCAAGCTGCCCAGAAGGAGCTGCAGCAGAAGGGTGCAGCAAATGGCAGTGCTAACGGGACTGGTTCTGGCCTTGTTGGAATCGACGACACCAACGAGATCTCCACTGTCAGCACTCTGCCGCAGCTCAACTCCTTCTCCATCGGCCTGCCCAACGCCCCCGACACCCAGGCTGCCATCGAAGTGGCCGAGTTCCTCGGAACCAAGCATCATGCCCTCACCTTCACCATCGAAGACGGCCTCAATGCCCTGTCTGATGTGATATACCACCTTGAGTCATACGATGTGACCACCATCCGCGCCTCAACGCCCATGTACCTGCTCAGCAGGAAGATAAAGGGTATGGGTGTCAAGATGGTGCTCAGCGGGGAGGGAAGTGACGAGATCTTCGGCGGATACCTCTACTTCCACGCCGCGCCGGACAAGGCTGCCTTCCACACCGAAACCGTCCGCCGTGTCAAGAACCTACACTTGGCCGACTGTCTGCGCGCAAACAAGTCTACCTCCGCATGGGGTGTTGAGGCCCGCGTGCCTTTCTTGGACAAGCAGTTCCTCGAAGACGCCATGGGCATCGATCCAGCCGAGAAGATGATCAACAAGGAGCGAATTGAGAAGTATATTCTTCGCAAGGCCTTTGACACCACCGACGAGCCTGACACGAAGCCATATCTTCCTCAGAAGTACCTGTGGCGTCAGAAGGAGCAGTTCAGTGACGGTGTTGGGTATGGATGGATTGATGCACTCAAGGACAACGCCGAGCTGCATGTCACGGACGAGATGATGAAGAACCCCAAGCCGGAATGGGGAGACGACATTCCTGACTCCAAGGAGGCGTATGTTTACCCCCTTCGTTTTCTTCCTTTCTTTTGTCAAATGGAGTAGGTATAGATAGCTAACGGGACTGCAGATATTGGTACCGCATGATGTTCGACGAACATTTCCCACCTTACTGTGCCTCCACCGTCAGCAGGTGGACTCCAACGTGGTCCAAACAGACTGATCCCAGCGGACGGTTCGTCTATTCCTCTACTTTCCGCAGCTTATTTTCTTTGCCGTTTCAATGCTAACATTTTCTCCAGGGCCATCTCTACCCACGTCGCCAAATACGAGTAGTTAGGAGAAGGGCTTCCCTTAACCAGCTCTTCCTCTTCCCTTCTTCTTCTCGGGGGTATATTAGCCGCCTCTTATCCTTTCTTCTCTTTCTTCTTCCATGTCTTCTCTCAGAAGTTGAGGTTACGGCCGTGCTTCCTTCTTCTTTCTTTTTGTAACTACCAAAAGTGAGATCTCGGACCTAACTAGTTAATAGACCGTCGTTCTTCTTCTACTTCTTCTTCCTCATGCCATCCCATCTCTATCTCTCTACTCCGTCCCTTTGCTTTTATATCAAACTTCAGCCGTCGCCCTTTTATGAAGGTACATCACGTGACAGGGGTAAGCCAATAGGAAGCCGTCCTTTTCCACGCCCGTTTGAGGTTGCCCGGGCGGCTCCTGGCAACCACGTGACCCTTCTTCTTTTTTCCCGTCTTTTTTTCTCTCTTTCCGTCTTTTTCCTTCTCTCTCTCGCTCTTTTCGATCCAACAACAACATCAACTCCAGCTTCCACCTTCATCAACGCCATCTCCAACCCACGTCCAAGGACTTCCGCCATCACCATGTCTGCCCCAGCTGCTTACAGTGACATTGCTAAGGCTGCCAATGATGTACGGCTTCCTCTTCTTTGCGCGTTGCTCAAACGGCGGCCCCTCCCCAAACTTCCCCCCAACAACTTCGCTCTCCACACCATTCCTTTCGGTATACGAGAGACGGCAAGCTAATCGCATCCTCTACAGCTCCTGAACAAGGACTTCTACCACACCAGCCCAGGTATGCAAAGCTCCCTTGTAGCAATTGTTCTTGTTTTTGTTTTGTTGCGACTGTTGTTGTCGTCGGAGCGACGTTTTCCTCTTTTTAAGCTTAAGCGCTGACCAACTCAATTGCATCGCAGCCAGCCTCGAGGTCAAGTCCAAGGCCCCCAATGGCGTTACCTTCAACGTGAAGGGAAAGTCTGCCCACGAGGGTTCCATTGCTGGATCCGTAAGTCTCGGTTATTCGGATATTTTGTCTTGTTGCACCTGCTAATCGCCCTTTGTCATACATACAGCTTGAGGCCAAATACGTCGATGCTCCATCCGGTAAATAAATCACACTGATATGCTGAAGCTAGCTAGTAAACAGTTGAACCTGTGCGACTGACTGCTCTTAGGCCTCACTCTCACCCAGATGTGGACCACTGGAAACGCCCTCGACACCAAGCTCGAGCTCGACAACAACATCACCAAGGGTCTCAAGGCCGAGGTTCTCACACAGTACATCCCTTACTCCCAGTCCAAGGGTGCCAAGTTGAACCTCCACTTCAAGCAGCCAAACCTGCACACCCGTGCCTTCTTTGACCTCCTCAAGGGCCCAACTGCCAACTTCGACGCCGTCCTCGGTCACGAGGGCTTCCTCGTCGGTGCCGAGGGTGGTTACGACGTCCAGAAGGCTGCCATCACCAAGTACTCTGCTGCCGTCGCCTACTCTCTCCCAGAGTACTCTGCCGCCATCACTGCTTCCAACAACCTCTCTGTCTTCGCTGCCAGCTACTACCACCGCGTCAACGCCCAGGTCGAGGCCGGTGCCAAGGCCACCTGGGACTCCAAGTCCGGAAACACCGTTGGCCTCGAGGTTGCCAGCAAGTACAGACTCGACCCATCCTCCTTCGCCAAGGTACGTGTCTTTTTTTCCCCCATACTCGCTCTTCTGTTCTGCGATCATTCTACTTACCGTCTCAATTATAGGCCAAGATCAACGACCGCGGTATCGCTGCTCTCGCCTACAATGTCCTCCTCCGCCCAGGTGTCACTCTCGGTCTCGGAGCTTCCTTCGATACCCAGAACCTCAACCAGGCTGCCCACAAGGTCGGCGCCAGCTTCACCTTCGAGGGATAAATCAGTGCTATCAACCGTGGCACCGATTTACCTGTCAACCCATAACCTGCTAATAGGAACATACCGAATGCTTTGTCTTCTAGCGTTCCCCTGTACTATCTCAGAACTATGCGTTTCCTCTTGACATATTAAAGTTCTATAGCCAAATAAATTCTTTTTTGTCTTCAGACCCTAGTACTATATATATCTATATAATTGCGTCGTTTTTTTTATTACATCCAATTCCCATCCTCGCTGCTCTTTGATGCAAGGTCTTTCTACTCGTTGCAATTGACCGTTTTGAGATAAACTGGAATATCACATTGTTATACATGTTTATCTCTTCTAATTTTGTTTATATATAGTTCCGCCATCCTCTAATGCCGGTGACATTATTGTACAAAGTCAGATACAGTCTTACTCCTTTCATCACCATCATGCTACTTGGTGCGAGATTCTTTCTGTCTCGCCGATAGCTCCCGTAAACCAGGCTCTTCCACTTTCGTCCTTGCAAAACTGGCACTCAGCATGGCCACAGCCAAAATCCCCGATATAACTAAAAACCTCACCGTCATGCTTCCCCCATCGTACCCGCCTCCTAATGACTGTCCCTCCGCAACTCGTCTCTTCTGCTCTTCCACGCTCTTGGCCCTTCTCGCCCGCCGCCTCATATCCTCATGCGACTGAGTCCGTCGATGTGACCTCGCGTCGAAATGCGGAACATCAGAATGATGGTACTCGGGGTGCTCCTGCTGGTGCGGCCCAGGCTGGTGCTCATGCGACTGTCTCTGGCTCGTCCCGTACCCACCATGCGCATAAAAGCTAGGCGGGGGTCCCTTGAACGTTCCCCGGCGCTTACTTAGTCCCGAGGCAGGGCGTGAACCAAACTGCGAGACCCCCGCTGAAGCTGAAGCCGACGAGAAACTGCCCGTTCCAGGCCTGGTAGCTGTACCTGAAGCGGAAGGAATGCGAATGCTGTTCTCTCGGTCATATCGAGCGCGCTTCTTGGGGTTAGCGAGGACATGATAGGCCGACGATATCGAGGAGAATTTATCTGCTGCTCCTGGTTCCTTGTTTCTATCCGGGTGATGGGCTAGGGAGAGCACGTAGAACTTTCTGCTCGTTTCGCGCGAATAACCATGACAGTTAGTGGAATGTTACAAATACCGCATGACAGGAAGCCAATTGCGTACTTTTTAATCTCATCTGTCGTCGCAGTGACTGGCACGCCGAGTATATCATAGTATGTTTGGGCTGTGGCGCGGAGAGCTGTAGAGGAGAAGCTGCTGCTGTTGCTGCTGGGACGGAGCCGTGTTATCGGACGGCGGAAGAGCAAAGCCGGAGAATGTCGCAGACACGGGTTATGGGAGCAAAACGGCATTCCTTCATGTCTCGTGCCTTCTCTCCTGCTGCTGCTGCTGCTGCTCCTGTCTTCTCAGCTCTTGATGTCTCTCTGTGTCGTCAGAGGAAGTCGGCCTCGGAAACAAACCTGCCTTATCGCCGATAAGGTCACATGACCGCTCCTTCGCCCGCGATTACACAAACTGACAGCGAAGACGACGACGAAGCAAACGCAGAGGATTTCCGCCTGAAGAGCATTGCCTGTCTTCTCTCTTCTGTGTGCATTGTACAGACCCCGGCTCTATCCAGGATCCAGGTAGAGCCACATGCAAGATTTCCAAGAACGAGCTTCTTTTGTTGTTCGCTAAAACAATTTTCCCAGTTTGTCAACCTAACGGGTAGAACTATACGAGAACCTGTAACTATATAAAACCAGCCCACTTCCCGCCCAAAGGACCACAACCCAACAATCCACCAGTTTGAACACCTCGATCTGCTCCATAATGGCTGCTCAGGCTGCCCCGGAGCTCGCGAAGCTTGACTGTAAGATAATTGTCGTCGTTCTTCCCTTTTACTTCGTCCTATTGTAACCTCACGTCATCCGCTGCTCAAGGTACGGGAGGGAATCTAACACAGAATCCGGTGTAGTGAACAAGAATACCGGCTCTGCCGAGGCCAGCACCGTTCCCGCTAGTGGTTCAGATAAGGACGATGCTGAGAACGAAGGAGACTCTGATGATGACAGAGACGACGAGCAGACAGGAGGCTCTGCCGAAGTAAATGGTTCGTTTAGCTGCTCGCACCCGCATGGACCCTGGGGAAAGGCAATATACTAAAAGCGATATCCTACTCTAGCAGAGAAGAAGAAGAAGAAGAAGAGACCGAAGAAGAAGAAGAAAACTGCCAAAGTCCAATCTGTTCCTCCTCGCATACCCTTAACCACTCTCTTCCCTAATAACAGCTTTCCCGAGGGCGAAATCGTGGAATATCTAAACGAAAACTCCTATCGTACCACAAATGAAGAGAAGAGACACCTTGATCGCATGAACAATGATTTCCTCGCTGAATACCGCCAGGCTGCTGAGATCCACCGTCAGGTGCGTCAGTATGCCCAAAAGGAGCTTATCAAGCCTGGTGCCACCCTCACGGATATCGCGGAGGGTATTGAAGACGGAGTCCGCCACCTGACGGGCCACTTGGGTTTGGAAGAAGGAGACAGCTTGGTGGCTGGAATGGGTTTCCCAACCGGGTTGAACATCAACCACTGTGCAGCTCATTATTCTCCTAACGCCGGGAACAAAGTCGTTCTTCAACATGGTGATGTCATGAAGGTGGATTTTGGCGTCCATGTTAACGGCAGAATCGTCGACAGTGCTTTCACTGTTGCATTTGATCCTGTTTTTGACCCTCTGCTTACTGCCGTCAAGGAGGCAACCAACACTGGAATCAAAGTATGCCTATATATAACCCCCTGTTGAATTTTACTAGTCGAATCCCTGGCTGACGATTGAACTCTTTGTAGGAAGCTGGTATCGATGTCCGCATGAGTGATATCGGTGCAGCGATCCAGGAAACGATGGAGAGCTACGAGCTCGAGCTGAATGGCACCTCTTATCCTATCAAGGCTATCCGTAACCTGAACGGCCACACAATCGGCCAGTACGAAATTCACGGTGGAGTCAATGGCAAGAGTGTCCCAATTGTCAAAGGTGGTGACCAGACCAAGATGGAGGAAGGTGAAACTTACGCCATCGAAACCTTTGGCAGTACCGGAAAGGGATACGTTAGAGATGATGTAAGTGGCTTCGCACTCCGTTTAGTTATTAGTTCTCGGCACTATACGCGCAGAATATTAACATGGTGCATACGAACAGATGGAAACATCTCACTACGCTAAAGTTCCAAGTGCTCCAAGTGTGCCTCTTCGTTTGACTTCTGCAAAGAACTTGTACAGTCTTATCAATAAGAACTTCGGCACTCTACCCTTCTGCCGTCGATACCTTGACCGTCTCGGGCAGGAGAAGTACCTTCTTGGGGTAGGCAGCATTCTTCCAAAAAACTCTTACGGGCACTTGCTGACTTTCATACATAGCTGAACAACTTGGTCTCTTCTGGACTTGTCGATGCATATCCTCCACTCTGTGATGTGAAGGGCTCCTATACTGCTCAATTCGAGCATGTAAGTCCAATTCCAGCCTCAATAGCTCCAAAATTCCAATGGCTCCTCCCGCTAACAAATTGACAGACTATACTACTCCGGCCAAATGTTAAGGAGGTCATTAGCCGTGGTGACGATTACTAATTCTATTTTGACCAACGGCCTACCACAAAAAGCACTGGTGATGAGTTATGCTATACTCATACCCTATTCAAGTACCTGTCTTTTTTATTGTTTCTATCTGGCATTATTCGTACATGGTTGCAATGGTGATGCACGGGGAATGGTGGTCCGGCGGCACTCGCAACTCATTAAAAACTTAGCGCTATCATTCCACTGTATAAGTATTCCACAGCCAATCCTCATCCCAAGCCACAACCTTCCGGTAACAAGTAATAGTACATATATACAGCATGCATAAATGTATATATAGGAAGGATAGATAGAGTAAGTTGAATTATGGCTTCAAGTCCCGGCATCCAAATGCTCTAAAACAAAACATGCTACACCGTATTCTCAGAGAGGGGAAAGTTGCATGTCCCGTTTTTGCGCCTATATAAGGGATGCTTCCAAGAAAGAAAAGATAGACTGAAAACGCCATAGAAACCAAATACGCCGACTCCAAGCCATCCTCTAATAAATATACAGATGGCCTCCTATACCTCGAGGTCCCAGAGGTGTTTTCAAGACCAATTCGAGCTGCTGTTGGTTTGCCTGCGCCTTCGTGATGATGGTTGGAGGAGGGACGGTGTTCGTGTAGAGGTAGGGGTCCTGATCTCCTCTTTTTGTGGCGAGCCGGGAAGTAGTTGTTGTGATAACCTATGGCTCAGCCGTGGTGTCTTGCCTGGTAACCCCGTACTGCCATTCCCTGACAGGCCAGGATGAATGCTTGGCGGCCTGGCACCATCTCGACTTCCGGGACGGAGGTTGAGAGAGCTATCGAGTCCGTTCTGACGGCGAGAAGACTCCCGACCTTCGTAATATGGCTTTTGGGAAATTGGTCTAGCTACTTGAGGTGTAGCCGGCATGGAGTGACTGGATATTAGGCTAGGTGGAGCAGCGGTGGACGTGCTTCTTCGTCTTTGCCTTCGTTTTGATCCGTTTAAGCTGGCATTATCGCTATCTTCGCTGTTCTTCACTAATTGCCCTGCGAGCTCTCTCACAAGGACACGAGAATCTTTCTGCAGTTCTCTTATAGCGTCGAGTAAACCATAGCGCCGAAGAAGCCCGCATTGTTCCTGGCTGGAATCACAAATAGTAGATAGGATTCGTAGTAGGTTCACTCTGACGGACGGCTTGGTATGTTGTAATTTTTGTCCAATACGTTCAAACATATCGGGCCTGGCAAAGGTAGCTGCAATTGCAGGACTTAGACGGAGCAACTTTTGCAAGGGTTCAAGGAGATTCTCAAAAGCATTGGCTTTTGATATTGTCATGCATCGGATAATGGCTATTGTGAACGAAGAATCTCCATGTTGGGTATCAAGGAGGTATTCTTCAACCTTGGCAGTTTCTTCCTGGAGCCTGATAAGACTTGTTAGTTAAAGGAATAAAATGTACCGTAGATAAAACCAGGGGCACTCACCAAGTAAAGATGGCGTCCAGAGTTGTCACCTGCCAATATGGATCCGAGAGCAAGGAAATATAAAATGTTAATCCCTTGTTGCGCCAAAGTTCGCGGCGCCCGACCTTGCCAGAATGAGCCATATCACAGAGAATAGGAAGTGCAAACTCTTTCAACGGCCGTTCAGTTTTGACAATCTTCTGTAGTAAAGGTATTATGCCGTTCAGAGCAGCGTCTTCTTGCCTCGATTTGCTAAGGCGGCACATGTTATAGATTGTGTTTAGTATCTGATTTGATACTTCGCGGAAATGGGGTTTCTTCATAGTTGACCGGAGGAGTTCAGTTAGAACATCAATAGCGTTTGAGTTTTGGAGGGAGTCAAGTGTCGTGGACAGCATGGAGAGATTCTTTATAAATTTGAGCATCGTTATTTGAGGACTAGGTGACATCCTCTTCAATTCCTTCAACACACCTTGGAGAGGGTTAGCACTGCCGGACGCATTATTCACTTGGGCGAACGGGCTTTACTTACGATGCAGTACGGTTCGCTCCGCAACCATCTCCTTAACATGGCTTTCAGCCTGTGAGAATATGAAGAAGATGTTAGAAATGCGAGCCTCGCAGACCTCTGCCAGTTCACCTTCTTCCTCATCGAGTACTCTGCTCAAGACGAGAGATAAGGGATCCAAGACCGAGTTCCGAGACAGTATCCTACAGAAGTCATTCTTTGGAGTTGACCCCTATCGAATTCGGTTCATTAATAAGGCGCTAGCAAACAGACGACCTGCGAAATCCAATACATACCTGTAACTCAAACACACTCCAAATACCGTTGACTCCAATCAAGACGAGTTCCCTTTCATCCTCATAATCGTCTTCGAGGAATTCCACAAGAACGTTCAGTCCTCCGGCACTGACGAACATCTGTAATGTCAAGGTTGAAGTCTGGTACATTTGCTGGACAAATGCAGCAGCCTCGAGACGGATTTCCCTTGGGTATTTTTTTGAAGCAAACTTGTTGATAATCGGAATTCCACCAACGAAACACAGGTTTTCCTGAATCTCGTAATCGTTGTAGATGATCTGTAACCACAGGTATTAGTGGTAGGTTGGCAGAAGAGGCGAGAAAGAGGTAAGTATAACGTACCGCATTGACGATCTTCAACAAGTTGGAAATGACATCTCGGCGTCTGCAGGTGTCCAGGATTTCCAAGATAGGGAGCATTCCATGAGCACTCATGATGACAGACTTGGTTTCCGGCATATCTGAAAATATGGTCATCTAGAGAAAACTTAGTTAGTACATGGTATGAAAAACTAGAAGGCAGAAGAAACATACCAGCTGCTCTGATATATCCACCAGAACTTCATCGTCCTGTGATGTTTTCAAAGAGCTAACCAGGCCTTCCACCTGATTTCGCAACCGTGCATATTTATCTCGTGCAATGTTAGCTTCCAAGTCTAGTTCATCTAGGCCTTCCTCTAGCTGGGCAAACGGATCATCTTCATCGTCAATGTCTCCTAGCCAAGAGTTTGTCGATAGTTTCGAATTGAGCATCAGGGTGCTATGATCGGATCCATCGTCGCTCTCTAGTTTGACAAGAGTACTGTCGTTGTCGCCTAAGATATCGGAGAAGTCCTCGTCTGCCTCATCCTCAGCGTACATTTCTATCTCAATAGCTGATCGAGATCGAGAAAGTTCAGATCTCTTCCTTCGATGTGAACTTGGTTTCATGGGAGTACTCTCGTCACCCGAGAAGATATCCTGGCCCATTACGGCCTGCGCCTGGACTGCACTTTCATCTTGTCCAATGCCCTAGAAATGGTTAGAATCACGTTTGGTTAATTTATAACAAAATAAGCAACGGAGTCCTCACTGGCATGGCAGATAATTTACTCTCCAGCACCTCGTCATTGGCTTCGATGAGATCTGAATAATCTTCGACCGAACTTTCTTCGTAAAAGTTTGCTGGCCGTTGGCGAATTGGTTTCGCCGCTCCTGGAGCCGACGATATAATCGGGCCTCTCCTAAACGCAGAAACAGGATACTGTCTATGCCTCCTGCGTGGGCTCCGTGGTGGCATAACTTCGTCATCAAAAGACCTTCGAGAACGTGGCCGAATAGTCTGCAAGGGGTCAGGTTCGTCATTATTCATGGCATCATTAATTTGGCCGTCATTGTCTATACCGGAGCTATCTGACTGGCAGAGCTCTGTTATTCCTTCAAGAGATGCAAAGGCTTTTAGTTTTTCAGGAGACAGCATTCCATCGAAATTATCCTGTGGTTTGAGGTGTGGCAGGTGGAGTGCCCCGGGAGAGATGGCGGAGGCAAAGTCATCGTCCCAGTTATCATTATTGGTGTTCTCCGGGGAGCGATACTTCTCTGCAGTATTGACATTTAATAAAGACAGTGCGTCTCGGTTCGGTAAGTTCAGAGGGTTGGGTTCCCTTTGTGTCGAGATGGGGCTGCTTATTCCTGACTGTTGCTGGGAGGTCTTGCGGATGGCATTTGAATTGGGGGATCGAAGTGCTTCATTCCATTCCTGAACGCTCTTGACTGCCTCTTCGTACTCCGTTGATTTCTTGGGGACGACGGAATCACATCGCCTAGCGTTGACTATCCATGGATGTTTGAGCAACTTCCTGGCAGATACCCGAAGATTCGGGTCCTTTTGGAAGCACTGCATCAGGAAATCCCTTACAGCCTAGTTATGTTGTTAGCGGATATCTTGCTAGAAAGACACCACGGTAGAAGCACAATAAAAGGAAAACAAAAAAAGAGAGAAAGGCACTCACTGGAGAAGCTCCCTGAGGTAGTGGGGGATGGTCATCGTTGACAATACGGAACAAGGCCTGCATGGGTTGGAATTTATAGTATGGAGGCTTGCCTTCAAGCAGTTCTATAACTGTCGAGCCTAAACTCCATATATCTGAGGCTGTTGTAGCGCCAGACAGTTCAATAACCTCCGGAGCCATCCAATACGGTGTCCCAACGACGCTGGACTCATGAAGACCTGTAGTTCGGCTGGCGACACCAAAATCCGCAAGCTTCACCAGGCCCTGCTTTGTAGTCAGGATGTTTGCACCTTTTATGTCCCTGTGTATGACACCCTGTTCGTGCAGGTATAGCAGCCCATGGAGGACCTGAGACATATATAGTCCAACCAGATTCTCAGGGAACCGGCCAAAGTTCTTGGAGATTGAATGCAGCGAGCCGTTTTCGCAGTATCTAGCAGATGCGTTAGATCTATATACTGAGACACGCAGGACGATAGAAAGAGCGGTACATACTCTAATATGATATTTAGGGTTTCTGCAGACTTTACGAAACCATGGTACTTGACGATATTTGGATGCTATGAAGGGTAATTGGATCAGTAACGTGGGATTGATATCGGGTTCCTGATCCAACGGAGGGAGTGGGATCTCAAGCCGGCCCGCAACTTACATCTAAATTCTTCAAAAGGTCTATTTCTTGCTGCAGAGAGAATGTATTAGACCCGACCTGAGCTATAAAACATATGTAGATGCGTATGTGTTTGCATTGTGCGTCAATGGGCCACTTACCATGATAACCCTCAGCTCGCTCTTCGGCAGGTCCGCCAGCCGTATCTGCTTGACGGCAACGGTCTCGCCCGTGCCCCAATTCAGAGCTCTGTAGACAGATCCGAAGGCTCCTTTGCCCAAGCAGTCCCCTAATTGCTATCGTAGGCGCATTAGCCGTGACATCCAATTCACTGTTCATATCAACCGACCAAGAGTAGCTGGTTCACGATGCCTCCCAGCCCGCGGTATGATAAGGAAGACATACAAAGTCAGTGAGTTCCGCCACGTCTTTGGCCGACGACTTGATCTGCCTGTCCCCGCCTCTGTCTCTGTCCCTGTCCCTGACTCTGTCCCTCTCCCTCTCCCTCTCCTTTCTGTGCGGGCTGGAGTCTGCTCTCGACATCCTGGTAGGGGTATTTGAGGTGCGGGTGGCGTCTCCATTATCCTGTTGCTCGCGCTCGCGGGGTCGGGACACTACCATCGTGCGGCCGGTGCGAGCAGTGCGTGTCTGCGTGTCTGCGTCTGTTTGCTGGCGGAAGAGCAGCCGTGCTGTGCCTGCGTCCGCGTCTGCTCACGGAGAGGCAGGGGACTTGCGGTGTATAGGGAGAAGAAGGGGATGTTTGTAGTGGCGACGGCTGTGGTCTGGTCATGTCAGTCGGGGACGCGGACGGCGAGCCTGGCGGGAGTCACAGCATTCGATGATGGAGTCGATGGGCCCGTCGATGTCTCTGTCTCCTGTCTCTGTGCGTCTTGTGCGTCTGTCTCTGTGGCCGCGGCTGCGTCTGCGGGACGACGGTGTCTGCGATGGCGGCGGACTGGCTGCGTTCTCCTGATACGAGAGCGATGCAGGGAGCAGAAGCGAGCAGGGGGCGGAGGGAGCTGTCTGTCTGTCGGGCGCCGTTCCTGTCAGGTCAGCAAACAAGGGGAGTTCTCGCAGCCAGCAGCGATATTTCGGCCAGCATGCGAGTGTCACTGATGCGTTTTCTCTTTTTCTTTTTCTCTCTCGTTTCTTTTCTTCTCTTGCGGAGGAGGAGGAGGAAGACGAAGAAGAAATTAAGGGTGAACGATGACGCACTTGAGGGGGGTGGCTTTTCGCTTGCCTCTATCAAAGATGGGGATGGTTGCTTATCAGGGGGACAGCTACCTACAGTCTACGGCCATTATTTTATACTCTGTGCTGGGGCAGAAGCAGCGGGAGAGGGAGTCTACTACGCGAGAGGACGCTCCCCTGGCTGTCTCTATGCTGTACGACCTCAGGCAAATGCTAAAGGGGAAAGTCTGGGGAAAAAAGGGGGAGAGGATGAAAGGGGCCGGAGTGTGTGTAGATCTAAAGAAACCGGATTGCTCGTGAGATTATTCCAAATCTAGTACAGAGTAGCGTGCGTATGTTTGTGTATTAGGAGTATTTATACATAGGCGGCGGTGCGAGCCACAGCTGTGTCCGCTGCTGTATCTTCTTCAGCAGCGGTTGCCTGGCGTAGCAGCCGCAGGACATCAGAGACAAGATAGAGGCTGCCAGCAATGACGATAGGGTTGTCAGCGGCGATGAGGTGTGCCCACTGCAGAGCCTCGGATATGTCATGTCCAAACTGGGTGGTTGTGCTGGTGCTGGTGATAGACCTGGCTGTGGTAAGCAGTTCAGCGGTAGGCACGCTTCTGACCCAGG